GTTTCGGCAGAATCTCATCTGCCACAGAAGCCTGATGATGGCAGATGAGATTCTGCCGAAACGTTGCTACAGCTTTAAAAGCACAACTACAATGACATGGGAAAATACCTGAACAAAGCTGAATGCCATATATATATATATGTATATATTTATGTATATAGCAGTCTTGTATATAAACTACTGTTAAAAGACAAAGCCTCTGTGTGTGCTGTGTTTTGCTCCTGGGTTGTCTCACAATAGTAGTCACACTGCAAACGCTCTGACATGATACCTTGAAACTAGCTTTTCAAAATCTGGAGATTTAGACTTTGCCTATTATCATTTGTAATTTATGCTCATGTATATGGACATAGATCTATCATCTATCATCCCTCTTTCTTTGACACAGTTAACTCTTGCTTTTTCATTGTAATAAAGATTGGCAATTTTACTTCAAGGCATTTTATCATTGCCAGCTGGTAAGAAACTCTAATCAAAAATAACTGGTCTCTATTGCCAACTGTAATTTAAAAACATTTGGATTAAAATCTTAAATTATACCCTTCTTCTAAATGTCTTTATTTGGGGGGAACATCTTATTCTTTTATATAATTCAATCTTAATCTTGTAAGTTTGCCTTTACAGGTCCTTTTCTAGGAGATAATATGCTGCATGTCCATCACAAATTCAATATCTCTGAGTAAAGGACTTCTTGTAGTTAAAAATGACTCCATTTTATAAAACCCCAAGATTTTAGAAAATCAATTAGAATTGTGCCAGTGATAACACAATCAATCAATTGATCAATCCCTTAAAAGTCAGGCAATTAAACTTAACTACCTGTATCCACAGGGATGCCAATTTAATGGGGACTTCAGCTCAAATAAATGTAGCAGAAAGCTATATTTTTAGGTCCAAAAGTTAATCTCTCTTTCTCATTCCAATAGTGAATAAAGTTATTTTAGAGAAATTCTCAGGGTTTCTTAGCTACTACATCTGGTTTGCTTCGTAAGTGACCACAATTAGGTAAATGTTTTATCTATTTAAAAATGGCCAAGAATTCTGGTTTTGGGAATTTAAGGATTATTTCCACTGCCTTTCTGCTACATTCTGGAATTGTTTGAATCTTCAACCAAAAATATGCCTTTCTTAAATTAATTCTTTTGACTTCTCTAGCATTTTGCACATCATCTACATTATTTAATCATACTGGATTTATAATGTATGTGGTATTACAAGTGTTTTACAATATGCACTGCATGAATAAATAACTGAGATAGTAAACCAGATGAAAATTTAAAGCAGAAATAATTAAACAAGAAGAAAAGTATCCTTACCAAATTATTTGAAGTATCATGTTATTATATATGCATTATATTTCATCTTTCCTCCATAAACATGGCATAATATACAATTCTCTCTTTTACCTACATTTTGGCTAAAGCAGGCCACTGTAAAACGAGGTTTCTGACTGGATGGGGCTATGAAACTGGGTTTAGTCTGACACTCTATTATAACAAACAGGTTTCAGGTGATTCAGTAAGTATTGTCATGGTTGTCACTGAGGAATGCAAAGAATGCATTTCAAAGTTGACTGTGATAAAAATGATCAGACAGGCTTTCCCTCACAAATCTGTGTAGTGCTATTTCAAGAATTTATGATGCAATATTATAAACTATGGACATAGATGTGACTAATGAGAGCAGAGCTTGGCAGGTTTTGCATTCTTACAGGAATCGTAAATAATGTTCCTCTAACCTTGATGAAAGGAAGAGTTGGGAAAATATATTTCTTTTGCCACTAGAGGTTGAGAGAACACCAGTAGAGCCACATCAAGCTAGATAACATTGACTGCCAGTACTTAGCTGCTCATTGGATTCTGATCATGGCAGCTTCTCTCTAGTAAGTGGAGCAACTCGGGCCATTTTTGTAGGTGAGAAGCTGACAACACTTAGTCCTTCTTATTTTGAAAGGTTTTCAGCTTCTGTAGGTCAGGACTAGAACTGGTAAGGGGGAAATCAAATTATCTGTCATATTTCAGTTGATTTGGACTGTATCAAAGACTGCTGTTGTGTTGAATCCTAAGTTTTTGATGCATTCTTATGCTCACAAAAGGATACAGATTTTATTTTTTCTCTTTCACATGGGAGAAAAAAAGAACTTAAACATTTGTGAAGTTCAGTTAGGACAAGAAGTAAGGTTGGAAAATGGCCAAGGGAGGAATATCTATTTGATTTGTCCATTCATCTTCTTTATTTATTTTTGGTAAAACTATGCACAAGCTTGCAGCATTTTCTGGAAATGGTCAGGTAACCATGCAATATTTTAAGGTCACATGACCAATATTATATCGTGATTAAACTATAAGGAGATCCCCAATTATGCTGAAATAAGCACACCATAGCTTTTTTGAAAGCTAAAGATATAAAAAGATAAAAGAGAAGGAACAAGGACAGATGTTTACACAGCCTAGCAATTACTATGAAGTTACAACTTCCTTTCTCCCCAGGTTCCCTACTGAGAATGACCACACCTTAACCATGTCAGGTTTTTTCCATATTTCAGTTGCCACTTGCCTTCCTGAAGGGATTGAATTAAAAAGGGGGAAAATTGACTCAGTACTAGCTAAGCTTTTCATTGTTGGGAACAATGCTATGCTATTCTTGACAGGTAAGAATGCATGTCTTATGTTCCTGCAGCCTCTAAATCTCACATCCCCCAGTAGCATCATTTATTTTATTTATTTATTTTATTTGTCAAGCAATTATAAGATAACAGGTATAAGTATAAACATGAATACATGAAATGGATACATATAAGAAAAAAAATACAATAGGACAGGGACGGTAGGCACGTTGGTGTGCTTATGCATGCCCCCTATAGACCTCTTAGAAAAGGGGTAAGGTCAATAGTAGACAGTCTAAGGTTAAAGTTTTTGGGGTTTGGGGAAGAAACCACAGAGTGAAGTAGAGTATTCCAGACATTGACCAATGTGGATTGGTAAGGATCACTTTGATTCTTATAATCCACATTGCAGGCAAAGAAATTGCAAATCCAGAACAAATCAAAATGTTATGTTCAGGAAGTGTAAGGCTGAAAATTAAAGAGATTTTGGGATGGGAGATCTTTTCTTTGCCTTTTGTCAGATTCATTTTTTTAATCAGGATACAATAGACATTAAATATAAGGAATAGCTCTGTTCTGATTTTATCCAGCAAAAGTGAAACTTTCATAGACTAATGTGTGAAAAGGAAGCAGACTGGTATCCAGTGAAGTTTGTGGAACAGAGGCGCAATATGGCCATTCCTGGCATCCCAAAGATTGCCTTCACTGTTGTACTTTGCTGCCATTTGCTCTGACACGAATGGGCTCAGAAAAACTTTTAAGTCTGATAGACTTAGTTAGCTGGCCTTCTTGACCCTCAGAATGTCTTTATAAAAGATAGCTATAATGAAATCAGCCCATGACTGACTTCAACCATTGCTGATTATGTTGTGCCCACAGCACTCTTTAATTCCCCGCCCCCCTTTCTGTCTTCCAGCAACATTCCATTTAGCTACACCTGTTTCCTATCCTGGTCAGGCTTGACACCACAATGATACAGTCAATGTGCTGCTCCTAAACTCCCTCTTTCTCTGCCTCCAGCCCTACGTCACTGACCCTTCTGGCCCATCACTTTCTTGTTCAGCCAGCTGTATGACTCAGTTATGGCACTAAGTATATAATTAGTTCTTAAATGACCATGATGATACTTTTCCCTGGCACCAGTTGAATGCAAGCCATGCCTTCTTGTTAAACAAGGGATAGGGGATGGCTATAATGAAACCCAACTGCCCTTGACTGATGCAGGAGCATCTTTGCATGAATAATTTAGATCCTTCAGAAACATAAGTGTCACTCTTTTGTGCATTACAACTTTAAGATTAAAACTCAGTTTTGAAGCCTAATTGCAACTAATGAATTCAAAGCAGCTTTTGAACAGTGTTAATTTTAATACTGAATAACAAATATTTAAAATATAATCTTATTTTCTTTATTTATTGATTTATTTATTGATTTATTTTCTTGGAAAGCTAGCAAATTCCACTTTAGAATTCAGACTTAGCCTACACATTGGAAAGTTAGTTATTTTTAGCAGGATCTCTTTGCTGTTGGATGCAGCAGGGGGCAGGATTTTTCTACATTATGAAAACACCACCAATGTCAACTCATTTGTAACTGATGTTTATTTTTTAAAAAGTGAGATTTACAATATAACAATACCAGTGTTTATTGTTACATTTCCTTATTGCTGTATTTCTTGCATTTTTCTCCATGAAAGAACAGATAAAATGTAATATCAAGCAGATACTAACACCAAACTTCCCAGGGGTAGTCTCTTATCTTGTTTAAATAGAAATATATAAACAGTTTGTTGATAACACTCTAGGAAATATAACTTCCTGCGGGTCTGGAAGAGAAGGTTCAAGATGTCTTTTGTAAATTTTGCAAGTATTACCAAGGTCTCGCGTATTTCCGTGTATTTGCTGTAGTGTGAAGTGGTTTGCAGCAGAATGTAGCTTGTATTTCATGTATGGCACAGAGTTTTGTAAGAAAATGAATAGTAATCACTATTTTTTATTGTTCTATGTTTATACTGTTGCAAGGGTGCATTGCCAACACATAGCTACAATAATGGAAAAGGCATAGTCTGATTAACAGGATACCTTTTTAATGTGCTGTTTCTAACTACCATAGTCATGCTGGCTGGATGAGATGGGTTTGTAATCCGGCATGGAAGGTTGTTGAAAAAAGCATCTTGATATAATCCAAAAGAACAGTTTTTTATACATTTGTGCAAAAGTGAACATAACAGGAGGAGAAAGTCGACTATGTCTGTATCGATTTACTACAAAAATAGAAGTGCCAGGGTTTTTTCACCCAGCATCTCATTTCTCTCTTTTTTTTTAATGACCCTAGTATGAAGAAGGGAAAAAGCGAAGAAAGCCCAACTACAGCAGCGTTGACCTCTCTGAGGTTGAATGGGAAGACAGAGATGATGTGGTAAGTGATAGTTCAGTCACTGCTTGACAGAAAAGTCAGTTGCACTCAACTACCAGCTTGACTAGACAACAGGAAGAGAAGAAAGGAAAGCCACTGTTTTTTAAAAAATGGGCACATTTTATTTTTATCTCATTTTATGTTAGCCCTTTCCCAACAAATATATTTCAGTTATACTTGACTGATGTAATGGGGGTTTCCACGATGCTTCAGTTGTGTTTTTAATTTGTGTTCATGTGTCTATATAAGTGTGAGCGTGTTGTTATTACTTGTTGCATTTACCATCCCGTCTTCCTCTGGTAGTTCAAAGCAGCTGAAGGGGGAAGGGTGTCCCTTCATTTCATTCCTTACACAACTCTACTAACTTGAGCAGGAACATTAAGAGAAAAAAGGGATCTTCAATGCCACTGAGTCTTTCTGTATCAATATAGTTCATGAGTTTACAAGTCTATTGTGCAGAGCGCTTATTTTTAGCTACCTATTCTGCTAGCAAAAGACAGTAAATCACTAAGAATGTAGATAAATGAAAAAAATCTCTATTTCCTCACTGACTTTCTTTTCCCAATATATGCTATAAGAATCCTCTTACCTCATTCATTATCCTCAAGTCAACCTTTTGTGTGCAGAACATACACAAAACAGTGCTTTCCTAGAGGTATTGATCAAAGGGTCGGTGCCTTTGATCATGGAGGCATATGGAATCCTTCATGGCTTTACACTTCTTAAGTTCATCTGATGTGTTCTCAAATTCCCCAAGTTGGTGATCCTCATGGCAGCATAATTGCATAATGTAACTTTATCCTATGACATGCAACCAATGGCAATAAGCATTTTCTTTGACTGGTTCCTAATGTCCATCATTTAAAGCCCAGTTTCTACTATCATGGAAGGGAAATGGCTCGTTTCTCCCTATTTTCAGTTGTGGCTTTCAGTTCTAGAATGGAAGTGGCCCAAGCCTAGAAAGCAGATTCTTACTAGATTTGTGTAGTCCCAGTTAACTCAATGACTGCACTAGACTTGAATGGCCTGTGAAGAGCTACTTTCAGGGCCCATTGGGGAAGGAGACCTCAGGAGTTCCAAAGGGATGAAAGAGTGGCCATGAATATCTGCAAACTGAGGGGGAAAAGTGCCAAGACAAAGGCCAAGATTGATCTCACAAAAACAATGGTAGATCTCGTAGATGCCTGGAACTACTAATACTAATACATTGTACATGTAGCTAGGGTTGTTTTTCAACATGAAAGAAAAAGGGGGAATGAATGTTCTAAAGCAGCGGTCGCCAACCAGTGAGCCGCGGCCCACTGGTGAGCCGTGAGAAAATTTTGGTGGGCCGCAAAGAAATCTCACCCCCAGAGCACCCCCACAAAGCAATTAATCCTGGCTGTGCAGAAACACAAGGCTGTGCCGCCCACATGGCCCATGGGAAACCTCCCCGCCCACTCACTCCTTACCTGGTAAACTTGCCTGCTAAATTGCTATTTTTCCTTTTTCCGACCATCATCTGTTCTGCTGTGGTGGGAGATTTAGATTAGCTAGGAGGCAGGAAATGGTTGGATTTCTTGCTTCCTAGCTAGTCTTTAGCTCTTCGGCTCAGCACAGCCGAACCTCCCCTAGGACTGAAGGTTTGCTTGCAAGCAAATTCAGTGCAGACTCATGGCAAGCAAATTTGAGAGACTGAGCTAGCCAATGGAAGATACATAGATCACTGAATGATGCTGTGAGCAACTCAATCTGCCTGCTTTGCTTGATTTTGTGTAAAAGTTGCTCTTTTTTAAAATAAAAAATTCAATATTTACATGCATGGTGTGTTGTGAGTTAATTTTGTGAGTTTGTTTGCAAGCAAATTTTATGTGACAGACTGAGCTAGCCAATGGCCGACAGATAGATCTCTGAATGAATCTGTGATTCTGTGAGCAACTGAATCTGCCTGCTTTGCCTGATTTTGGGTAAAAGTTCTTTTTTTTATAAAAAAATCAATATTTATATAAACATTTATAATATTTACATACAAGCCATGCCCAGCCAGTCACATGACCACCAAGCCACACCCACAAATTAGGCCTCATTCACAGAACCGGTTAGTGGTCCCTGGGATCTAAAATTATGAGTTTGGTGGTCCCTGAGGTCCAAAAGATTGGCGACCCATGTTCTAAAGTAAATGTAGGACAGATGCATTGTTTTTATGATATACACTGCCCAGAGTCACTTGTTGAGATAGACAGCTGTAGAAAATATAGAATGAATGAAGAATGAATGAATGAATGAATATAAAAAGTAGTCTGCATGGCTGACTACATCATTTCTGTGGCTTTGCTCCGCATTTGGAAGGCTTCTCACTGAGTGGTCGAATGCATCAAGAAAGACACCAGGCTGGTTCTATCTCGGGTGAGCTGCCCCGAACACGAGCTCAGGAAGCTCTTTTATTAAAAACACCTAGTGATACGTCACAAGCGGTGAACTCTATCCAATCATTATGTTACATGAGTAGAAATGTTAGTGGACACATAGTAGCATCCAATCACAGTGTTATATGGTCAGTTTAGTGGGTACAAAGTAGCAAATCAGCGCCTGCAGTTCAGTTAGTAGCCCATGGTGATGTGTTACTGATTGATGTTCTTTGTTCCTGGTACACGCTTTCAGCCTATGTGAGGTCTGGCATGTACCGAAACTGTTGAAGCTGATTTATTACTGCACATTTCCTGTTGCAATCTCACAAGATTCTTGGAGGCTTTTTAGAATCAATGAACCGTTAAAACAGCTACGAGTACAATAAAAATGATAAAAACTTAACAAAAAAGCAATCCAAATCCTATTCATTTATTTATTACATTTATACCTCACTGCAATTCCTACAGGATTCTTGATGGTTTTACAGAATATGCAAACCATTAAAACATCCACTGTACCATACAAATAATAAAAACCTACCATTTTTTTAAAAAAACAAATCAAAAATTTAAGCCCAAGTGACAATCTCAGGTGTTCTCTGGAAGATTTCCATCTTCCAGCTGCTTTCACCAAGTTCAGAATTGACCTTAGCCCTAATGGGAATTTTATTTTATTTATTTATTTATTTATTTTGTCAAGCATGCATTTGAATATATGCACACACACACACACACACAAATACAAATATAAATATAAACATGATTATTAATATATGAAATAGCTATGAATAAAAGGGAACATTAAGACAGGGACAGTAGGCACATTGGTGTGCTTATGCACGCCCCTTACAGACTACTTAGGAATGGGGTGAGGTCAATAGTAGACAGTGTAAGGTTAAAGTGTTTGGGGTTAGTGGAAGAAACCAGAGAGTCAGGTAGAGTATTCAGGCATTGACCACTCTGTTGCTGAAGTTGTATTTGCTGCAATCGAGTTTTGTGCAGTTAACCCTGAGTTTGTATCTGTCATGTGCTCGTATATTGTTGAGGTTGAAGCTGAAGTAGTCATTGTTGGGTAGGACATTGTAATGGATAATTTTATGTACTATGTTTAGGTCAGTCCAAAAGCTCAATAGTTCTAAGTTATCTAAGCCTAAAATTTCAAGTCTGGAGGCATAGGGTATTCTGTTGCGAGTAGAGGAGCGGAGGACACTTCTCGTAAAATATTTCTGGACTCTCTCAATTGTATTAATGTCTGAAATGCAGTGTGGATTCCAGACAGATGAGCTGTATTCAAGAATTGGTCTAGCAAATGTTTTGTATGCTCTAGTTAGTAGTACAATATTACCAGAGAAAAAGCTTCTCAGGATTAGGTTAACAACTCTTAATGCCTTTTTGGCAATGTTGTTACAGTGGGCTCTAGCGCTTAGATCATCAGAGATGAGAACTCCAAGGTCCTTGACAGAGTGAGAGTCATCTACAAGGTCTTGTCCTTCCAGCTTGTATTTTATTTTTTGATTTTTTTTCTTACCAATATGTAAGAACAGAGAATTTGTTTGTTGAGATTTGAAGTTGCCGCTTGTTTGACTATTCTGACACATAGTCAAGGTCTTTTTGAAGGGTAGCAGCAATCAATCAGTTAGAGATTCCAGACGGTCTGCTCTCTTAGTAAGAAATAGCAGCCCACACCTTCTTTAAATGGAGAACCTTCTCCCATCTAAACTGAATTGGCTAGGTCAGTTCTAAGGGAGGAACATATTCCTTCCCAAATGAGGGTACTGCTGCCATGGTTAGATGAAAGTAGGTGAGATGAGTAGGAAGCAAAAATTTAAAAAGCCATATGGATTCCAAAACTCTTTTGCTTTGGTCTCTTTAGTAACATTCAGATGTTAGATCAAGTAACAGCAGCACAGCAACAAAAATCTGTACCAAATTTTGCCAAGACAGTTCTATCTCTCTTATGCTATAGTCTGAACTACCTGAAGCTTGCTACTATTTATAAGATGAAATGCATTTAGTTCTATATCCAGGTTCATTATGTTCATGTTGTCTATCAAATGTCTTATCTGTTAACTTTCACAGTCTTATTCTTTTTTGTTCTAATCAAACTCCATATTGCTTCTTTCTGGTCATTCTGCAGTTCCCTTTAATGCCATTCTGTACATTTCAATTTTCTGCTGTACTGTATCAAAAGTTTTCCTTATGTCTATGACTTAACCTTTGTCTGTTTTTCTGTTACTTCCTCCATAAATCTGATATTTGGGGTATGTTTCATTTTGTGTGAATCCATGCTGACTGTCCTTAATTAAATCATAACTTTCCAGGTGTTCTCCTTTTGGTTTCTGTTATTTAGCTTTTCCCATAACATCTGTACCAACTAAAGTCATGCCTTCTTGTCTGCCTTTCTACAAATCTTTCCTTGCACCCTTCTCATATATCAGCAGTACATTAACAGCTCCTATATCCTTCCAAACTCCAATCATTTCTGAGAGGTTTTGAATATATCAACAGAAGTTTCCCATATTTACAGTGTCACGTCTTTCTGAAATCTGGGATTCATCACGTATCTCTGCCTCTGGAGTATTGTCAGTATTCAAATGTAGACATTTCTTGATCACT